GGGACTGACGCTCTCCCTAACGACCGCGGCTCTCGCTGCTAATCGCGGATTCCGAAAATGGATTTCTGCGGCCCGCAGATCTCGCCCGCGGCGGCGACGATTCGTTTCGGCGGCACCGCGAGACAATGTCCGTTTCCTGGTGGCGAGGTACGAAAGTGCCGCTCTGCCGGTGGTAATCGCATTAGCGCGGTCGCGCCGCCACGGAGCGACAGCGACGCTCCGTCGCGAGCAAAATCTCCCTCCGACTCTGCTCTCCTTTTTCTGCCTCCCCCCCCCCTCTCTCTCTCGCTCTTTCTTTCGTCCTTTCTTTCTCTCGCTCGAAAATTACCGCGTCCCGCACCGTGACGAATCCGTTCCGCGGGATCGGTTCTGTCACCAAATCACGCCGCTTTTGCCACGCTATTCTCCAATCGAGATAGCCGGCAACGCTACGCTAACGGACGCACACACACACGGCGAGCCGCGTGCAACGCGCACCGCGGCATGATAATTTGCGCTCAAAAAAGTTTATTAATATCCTGACTGGCAAAATAGAAACGAGAGTTTCGGCCGGACGCGATTCGGGACGGATCGCGTGTTTGCGAGAAGCAAGCTAGGCTACGTGCGATTAATTACGCTCGCGCGCGTTTTTTTGCCGGCTTCTCGACTACTCTCTCGTATGTTCCGAATGAAACCGCGCTCGCCCGAAACGAGCCGTCGCTGCTGAATGACGAATTGAGATATTAATGGTACGATCGCGATTCGCGAGAGACCGAAAATGTGATTCGGAAATCTATCGCTCGACGTTCAACGGCGACCCGACGACGACGACGACGACGACGACGACGACGACGACGACGACGATTTTCGGTCGTTCGAGTCCGAGCAGAAAAAATATCCGCGGGTTCTCTCTTAATTAGAAGACACCGACGAATAACGCGCGGGCCGATTGAACGAGATAAAGCTGCTGTGGAAGTTGCGGGAGCTAAGTGGACCCCTATTCGCTACCGACAGCTTCCAAGGGCTCCTAATTGTCAAGATCGAGCACCATAATTACACCCTCCGCGATTCGTTCTCGTCTCTCTCTCTCTCTCTCTCTCTCTCTCTCTCTCTCTCTCTCTCTCTCTCTCTCTCGCGGCTCGTCTCCCCCGTTAACGGAACCGGACGAATTCTCACTGCGCGGCAAAACGACGCCGAGGAGCGACGACGACGGCGGCGGCGTCGTTGTCGTCGGCTAATTCGACAGGTAGAGAGAGAAATGGAGAGAGAGAGAGAGAGAGAGAGAGAGAAAGGAAGAGGTAGCTTAACCCAACAGATTAGAGGGAGAATCGAGAAGTTCGGCTTGATAAAAAGCGATAAGAAACCACTCCCCTAGAAACCTATGACCCCTTTCACGTGTTGTCTCTCGTTCGCCACATTATAAGTAGGCGCAGGGAGAGAGGGGAACCATTAGGGATCCCGAATAGATTGTCTTTCGCCGCTTAATCGCGCGAGTCGTCGTCCGAGTCCCCGAAATTCAGTTGAAGCGATAAAGGTTCAAAGAGAAGTTCTCTCGAAGAGAATTGCTAAGCGCACGAGAGAGAAAATTATCGCCGAGACAGGATACGTTAGAATATGCAGAAAAGAGCAGCGACAAAGCTGCGCGGTAACGGTTTTCGGATAATATGCATAGACAAAATATTCGTATATAAATATTCGTATTAAAACTTCGAAAAATTCGCATCAAAAAGAAAATCATCTCAGACAGAGTAAATTATACACAAATAGACAAAAGCTAAAATAATAAAAGCTAAAGTAATAAAATGCTGCGCATCTTCAATATCGGAGAGAGAAGAGTGCTGATAACGGTCCTCGAGAAAATAGACATGTTGATACCGATAGGACAAGAAGCATTGCGTAACTTGTTGTTTTTCCGAGAGACACTTTGAAAGCGGAATTTACGATCAATCTAATGGAGCATTTCCACATTTCCGACTTTCACATCGACACTTTGAAATTTTGTCGGGCTCGCGTTACGTACCAAGCTCGGTTGGTACGACTTTATTGACAAAGAGATATCACGTAGGTGGTTGATACTTCCGAGAAACGATGATAAAACCGAGCAAATGTTGTGTATATGCTTTATAACCATGTCTATGTGAGCATCGCGATTTTCCGCGAAATCCGTCGAACCGCTATTGCCCAGCCCTTCTCTCATTTTTATAGCGATTAATACCGAATAATAATTTTAATCGCGAAAGTACAGAAAGACAACGCGGTCGAAGTGAACGAGGAAAAAATAAATCATATGTCATCAGAAAATTAAGAAAAATGTACATTCAAATAGATATGATTACAGGCAGATGTAAGTAAATGGATTAATTTCAAATATAAAGAAACAAAAATTGATAGAAACGGCTACAAGCCGGAGATCAAAGCGACTGGGATTTCACTTATCGCGCTTATCGCTCCGCGATTATTAGACACGCCAATTATTTCCTCTTTATAATCGCAAGTTGCGATTAGATCATCAGAAGGTGGATTCTGATGCTACGTTCATTACACCGTTTAGCATCGCGTCCCTCGTCAACGCACGATCGCGTTCTTCTTGCCGGGGCAACGTGTTTGCTTTGCGTCTGTCATTCGACCTGTCGATAGAGTAGTGTAATAAGCTACGAATACCAAAGCCGCGGCGTGACGCCCACTCGACCGCCACATATGTGTGTGTGTGTGTGTGTGTGTGTTTCGTAACTTTCCATGAGCCGTTGCGGTTATTTGCATCCTGTTACACTACCACAGCTCGTTACGGACTTCGTCGACCAACGTACTCGCGCAATCGATGAACTAATTGACGGTTGTTTACAAAAAGAAAACGGCGCGCGAGCGAGCGAGCGAGCGAGTAAACCAGCGAGCCGGGACCGCGTCCCGCCTAAAAGCACGTTTCGTGTTTACTATGATACAATGTCCAAGGAGACAAATTTCACAAACATACGCGGATATGGATGACGCATCACCTCTGCGTGACCTAACGAAAATGACTTGAGCTTGTCCATATATTTCACAAATACCTGTGTGAAATTTTCAAGCACGAGAAAAGACAGATAATCATCGGCATTTCGCGCGCTGATTGCAAATGATCACTCTATGATCGTCGTATGACGTACGCGCAAACGCCCAAGTCGAAATGTTGATATTCTACATCATCAACACGGTAAATTCTATGGAATTTGTAGGATCCAACGTCCCGAACAAAATTCCGAGATGTATAACCTGCACAGGCAGCTAATATCTTGCCATGATGCTACAAATGGTTATTTTATCGAGTAATTTGATAAACATGTACGAGTGTGGGTAAATATAATTAATACACAGACAAATATACGCATTTCTTTATTTATCTTTTCTTTTTCGTTGGAAATCTCAATGACGAACTTAGATTCAGGAAAAAGTGTAGAGGAAAAAGTTGTTGCTGCCTTACGATCAAAGTAAGATCAGGTTAGGTTAGGTTAGGTTAGGTTAGATTAGGTTTGGTGAATTGTTGAGAGAAAGGTAGCCAAAGTTGAGACAAAGATGCAGCGTGCATCAAGACTGATTTCAATTTAGATTCGATACAACAGCGAAAAATAATCAATATACCAAAAAGAGATTGGCGGAGATTCCGGATCGTACTCGCCGCGCGAGGAACATTATTCGATGCAAAGATCAACAATTGCAAGGCTTGAAGCAGATTATAAATTTCGAATCGGGCATATTTCCTCGTTTCCGCGAAAAATTCGCGGGATATCTGTCAGAAGTGCGGAAACGCTCCGTGCAAGAAAGGATTTGCAACACACCTGATCATACAGAGTACGTCGTCATCGAACTTTCTGCGTCCTCCTGAGTCCTGACCCCTGGCTGCTGCTTCGTCGCACAGGACACTCACTAGACACTCGCGACGATTTTCCCGATTCGAGCGCAAAAATGTGTTAACGAACGCGACGCCGACGAGAATCCGATCGAATATTTGAAGAACGGACGCGGAATATTGTTAACGCCCGACCGGATATGCAAACAACTGGACGATACAGCTATCACACGCTCGTATCCCGCTCGTCGGCCCGAAACACAATGACGCGCGGTCGCGGTCGGACAAGTGTAAACATGCGCGAGATCAAAACAATCGGCGAGTAGGACAGAAACTATTTCCCCTCCCAGATGCCCACTGTTGTCGGCCACCGATCGATAACGCGCACATTCGGCGACCGCGAGATTGTAACAATCAACATTTCGGACGTTTACGGCAATCTTCGTTATCAGGAGCGTCACACGCGCGGTACTTATCGGAAGGGCCCCGAGTCGAGATTTAGGATCTGTTGTAGGATAAGATTGTAAATTTCATAGGTGTTGATTTATCCACGTAATAATACTTCTTACTTGCAACCCCTTCATTTTACCTCGCCTCCCCCTCCTGCATCTCCAATCTTTATCGACATTTCCAACGTCAGTAATATAATTTTATTGATATCTGTGTGTATAATAGATAAAATGTGTAATATATAAATATGTAAAAATGTTGCGATATAACACGGAGTCAACGTGCGAAAAGCGAGGCAAAAAGCGCAAGTTTCTGCCTGGCCTAGCCCGCAAAAGTGCAGACAAAATATCGAGGTAATAAAAAATGAAATAATTCCCAACATCCACCTCCTAAGATATTTCTACAGGATCTATTATACTCTCTGTATCGTCCCAGCATTTTACAGGTTCTCAGGTGGTTCTTTTCGGAGCCTTGGGACCCGAAGGAAACGGGTGCTGAGAAACGATTTGTAGCATCAGAGAAAAAGCCAATATTCCTCGCGGTTCCCCGCGGAGAGAACCTTCAAAAATTCCAGAGAATCGGTAGGATTAACGCAGGATTAAAAGCTCGACTCCGGTCGAGCTCGAATCCATGCGGATCGTGTACACGAATACAATGCCTCGAAGAGAGTATTGCGAGACGACGTTGGAATGAATAAATTCGTCTCGTTCGTGCTTCTCACGCTCCTTGATGGATTTGTTGGACTCACCAGTATAACACCAGGCTGGCCAGACGACAGGGCTCTCGGTGTCCAGCTCCCTCATTCTCTCAGCGACCCGCGGACATCTCCACTCCGTTCTTCCCGACGTGGCGGTAAGAATGTCCAGTTTGACAATCGGCGTCGACCTTCACCCGTGCGATTCTCTGCCCTCCGGTCGGACGTCGCGAAAGAGCCCGACCTTTTTCCCCGATGGTCTCTCCGGCCAGGAACCACCTGTTGCACCAAGCTGACCGGAGTCTTGGAGACGAGTCCACCGTCGAGGATCTGATTTCGATGTCGCTCGACCGGACACACCACGGGCTTCTGCGAGAACGCGGGTCGTCGGATGCGAACGATCGAGGCGGTACACGTGCAAGTGAAAAATTCCAAGAGACAGATAAGTCTTTTTAGATGAGTGTTCGGCGTTACGGTGCTCCAGTTACGACGCTGATAAGGCACGGACGACGCGTCATCGACTCGCCACGTCCTCGTATCACTTCCTCTCCGCCGCACTGTCGTTCGTGCCAATGTTCATCGCAACGTCGTTACGACGACGACGACGACGACGACGACGATAGAGGTATCGCACCGACTATTAGCGCTATCTCTATGAGCGTGCTGCTATCGCTACAACATCGCCGGGACACGCGTGTTACACGGAAAGGTGTCTGGCACTCGAGACTTGAATCGCGCACTAAATGTCACGGAAATGTCAATTGCCGTGCCGCCGACGTTTGACACCTTCACTGGATTTGTCCCCTTCCTCCTCGGCGCACTTGGTAGACGCTCGGATGGCCGTAGGGATCGCACACGATCGAGTCTCTGAATTATCACTGCGACGACTTTTCTCTCTCGTCGTGCCGGAATCGCCGGTCTCGGCAGGCGTTTCATTCACGTGGGTAGCAGCGAGAAAGCAGCAAACTCCGACACGGCGTCGCGATATCTGCCGATATCCGAGCCACGTTTTCGATCATGAAACGCTCTTATCTGCTATCATCGCGACGATAAGTTTCACCAACGTCCGTCCACTCGTCCGTCACCGTCGGACTCATCTCTCTCTCTCTCTCTCTCTCTCTCTCTCTCTCTCTCTCTCTCTCTCTCTCTCTCTCTCTCTCTCTCTCTCTCTCTCTCTCTCTCTCTCTCTCTCTCTCTCTCTCTCTCTCTCTCTCTCTCTCTCTCTCTCTCTCTCGCTCTCCCTCTCTCCCCTCTCTCTCTCTCTCTCTCTCTCTCTCTCTCTCTCTCTCTCTCTCTCGCTCGCTCGCTATCTCGAGCTTCACAGGTCACTTGTACGTTGCCACCTGTGAACCTGCGCCCGCCGGTGTCAAGACATCACGTCGCGCAACGACATCGAGCTATCACTGCCTATACAGCCTCTGGCGGGCTTCACTTTCTTCACTCTATCCGTACACTGACGGCCGACCGTGCCCGGTAATCGCAGAGTATATCCTCGACTCGACCGATCCTCGCCTTCAGTCCCGGGAGGATCGTTGACGTACCGCGGGATGACACGACACTACTACACGGCACTACTGCGTGAGGTGATGTCGAAGAGGATAGACGGATACACAGAGACAGTAGGGGCAGAGAAAAAGAGAGAGAGAGAGAGAGAGAGAGAGAGAGAGAGAGCAAGATAGAGAGAGCGAGAGAGAGAGAGAGAGCAAGATAGAGAGAGCGAGAGAGCGAGAGAGAGAGAGAGAGCGAGAGAGAGAGAGACAGAGACGGAGACAAGTAGGGGGATAGACAGAAGTAAAAAAGATGAAGGAAGAGATAGTTAGGGGAAAGGAGAAAAGAGACAGAGAGAGGGAGAGAGAAAGAGAGAGAGAGAGAGAGAAAGAGAGAGAGAGAGAGAGAGGGAGAGGAGAAGGGGGAGGGAGAGAAAGAGAGAAAAAGAGAAGAGAGAGGGAAGAACCTGACCACCGGACACACTGCTCTCGCCTTGGTAGGCACGACACACAGGTAAGCGGAGTGGCACTTGGGTTGGTGCACCTGCCGCGAGAGTCCGCGCCGTAATGGGAGCGGGGCAACGGGCGGCAGGTAGGCAGGCCCTCCGCTCGTCAACCTGCGGAGAAGGGGAATCAGTCACATGGCGAGTACTCTGCGCTACCTGCGAAAGAGGTGGTAGCCGGAGTAGATGGAGGTGGTGGATGAACGAAGGTGGTGATGCTGGCGGCGGTGGTGGCGGAGGATGCGGTGGTGGTGGTGGTTTTGGTGCTGCTGGCGGTGGTGTTGGTAGTGACGGTAGTGGTGGTGATGGTGCTGGTGGTGGTGCTGCTGCTGCTGGTGGTGGAGGAAGACGAGGAGGAGGAGGAGGTGGAGGACCGCGGTAGAACGCAGGAGCAGGAATCATCGGGAGACCTCGAGAGGAGAGCCGACTGGGCCGGCACCGGTGTAACCTGTCGCGAGACGATCGGTGTGTCGACGCGGCGACTCCGCCTGAGAAAAATTCGAGGCGATTTTCTCACGTCGTGGAACGACGACGACGAGCGCGGTGGGGGAGGGGGGGGGGACGGGGAGGGAGGACCGAGACCTGAGTATTCTCGCCCCTGAGACAAGCGAGACAACTGCCAGAGGTTGAGGAATGAGAACGACACACCGTGAGAGGACGTTCGCGTTGATGATCGCAAATGGTCCGAGTAAGATGCGAGACGTACCGAAGTGGAACTGTCGTCCACAGTAAGGCGAAAAGCGCAAACTAGAGCGGTCAAGAGGCCTCGAGGAGACCGTTGAGCAGAGTTTAATTGAACGGCACGATTGGCGGTAATTGAAAGCGCCAACACGACCGAGTATCACAGCGTCCCCCGCGACGTAGAAAAGATGGGAAAGAAGCTGAGGCTGGCTGGCTGGCTGGCTCTCTCTCTCTCTCTCTCTCTCTCTCTCTCTCTCCCGCCTTTGTTCGCGGTGGGGAAATATTTAAACGCTGAGGCTATTATCGAGACAGCACGCTGGAGACGCACATAGTGCGTCCGCAGTCTCCCCCGGCTTGGCTACCGATTATGGTTCACCGGGATGCTCTCTCCCGGTGAACCTGGACTCCATATTTGGACCCTCTTACGCCACGGCGCGGAAGAGCGCCCATTGAATTCCAGACGTTTCCCCGAGTAACCGCCGGTGGAACTCGACTGCAACGGTGGCTCGTACCGCGGTGCCTCTTCCAAGCACGTCGCTCAATGTCCGGCTATCAATGCTACGTCTTCCTTCGCCGGAGCGCGACCGTGCTGTGGCTCGTATAGCAGTCTACGTGGACACTAGAACGTCAGATGGAACGAGACGCGGAACACCTTGTCCGTGTGTACCGTCGTACTTCTTCAGGGATCTCGCTCGTAAAACAATATCGTCGGCCTGCTAGCGCGGCTTCTGGAATAGCGCGATCGTTTCCCTTGGAAACGATCATCGCGACTCGTTCTGCAAACACGTGGGCGTGCTTCCTAATATACGTAAATTGTGGATCTTTTTGAGAAATGGGAGAGCAAACAAGAAGATATAATTCACTGCTTCTTTTTTTTTTCGTCAAATAAACAGGAGCCCAACGCGCTTGGTCCTGCTGGGCTCCTCGAGGTTACGCCGCTCGGAGCAATCTTATCGGAACTTTGACCCACGTCACTGGCTTAACCGTGACGTTAACTTTCACTCATTTTGCATCGCATTCTTTCAAGCGCGCCAAGTCTGGCGCGCTCGCACTCGATTTATTCAACTAGCCCACGCACTTGCCCGCAATCTCTTACAAGAGATCACCCTTTCTGCGATAATAAAATACTCAAATGAAGAACACAAGGAAATATCATCCGCGCTCATGTCATTTCACCCCCTACCCACCACGCCATTAAAGAGCAGCCCAACCCCGTCAGCGACGACCGCGCGCGCGCGACTCCCCGGCGTAATCCTGGAACACGGTCGCGCGCCGCGAACGCGTTATCCGCAGGATTACCCGGGCAACGTCGCCTCAGGTGTCCGGACGTGTTCAGAACCGGTGCGCGACCGCGGTGGGAGGATATCCCGGCGTGTACGGAGCAGCGCGCCGCGCTGAGATGAGAGCTTGTTACGTTAACCATCATATTGTTTCGCGAGGGCGAGGCGCCCTCGCTCTTTGCCTCGCAACCGCGGCGCGGAATTGTGCGTGGAGGAGCAACGAGTAGCGTCGGCACCACGGCTTCGAGGTGTACCATCAAGGACGATATATCGCGGCCGATATATATCACTCGGGAGAAAGAGACAGAGAGAGACAGAGAGAGACAGAGAGAGAGAGAGAGAGAGAGAGAGAGAGAGAGGCAGAGAGAGAGAGAGAGAGAGAGAGGGAGAGAGGGAGAAAGAGCGCGCACTCCACCTCTACAGGTCGGGTTATTATACGTATGTATGTATGTATGTATGTATGTATATATGTACGTGTGTGCGCCCGAAGGCTGGCTGCGAGCTCCTCGTTTAGATATCCGCTCGGCCGCGCGAGATTATTCGAGCGAACGACGCGAGGCGCTGCCGCTCGCTCGTCGAAACGTCCCGATGGACGGTGCATTATATTGGTATCCTATCTGGCGTCGAGAGATCGGCGGGCTTCCGCAGGTAGCGATTACCACCTCGGTCATTTTCTTTCCCGGAGAACTATCGCCGATTAAACGGTCCATCGACCTGCTCCGCGGGGATGTATTAATCTCGCTCGGTCGGGCCGATACGACTCCGTCGTCGTCGTCCTCCCCCTCCGGCCCCGTTGATCGGCCGAGAGCGGTTCGCGGGAATTAATTAGCGGGCGAGGCGGCCGCGCGCGAAAAATCTCGCGACGTTAACGAACGTTCCGAAAAAAGTACGGAAGTCCGGGCCGAGCTCGGACGATCTCTCGCGCCCCTCTCGCGGAGGGCAGCGGACTTTCCCTCGGAGCGCTCTCGTCGATCGACTCGTACGCGGACTCGAGCGCGTTCTCACGACTCGTCCCGGCCGAGCGATTTAATGCCGCGGAAGGGCCGATAACTATGCCTGTTATCCAAAAGCCCGGTTTTTCCCCGGCCGCTCAACGGCCGGGAAACGCGGCCGCGGCTCGACTTTTACGCGCCGCGTAAAATCGCACTCGCGCCTCGCTAGCTACGCGCCGCGAAGGAACGCGCCGGCGCTTTTCCGCGATCGCGACGCAACGCGATGTCCGCGGCAGCACCTGGCTGCTGCTGCTGCTGCTGCTGTTGCTGCTGCTGCTGCTCATCTCCGGAGACCAAGTAACCGGTGGCGTTCATGAATACGTGTTCATTATTTATGAGCAACGCCTCTCGGCATCAACTGGACCGGCCCTCTTTATCTACCGGTAGGCAGCCGGAGAGGAGGAAGGCGAGAGCGGATAACGTATTACGTCTTCATATTTTTTTCCCCTCGTGCACGCCCGGTAATTAAAGGTGCCCCCGCCAAGGACCCCGATGATTTACCGGCGATGCCGGGCCGACCTGATAAGATGGGACCGCTTGATAACGAGGCTCCCCTTTGTATATCGAGGAGCCGGATCGAGCCACGGTGCGGTGGATCCGTCTGCCGTCCTTATAACGTTCGTATAACTTTCTAGCTGCCGCGGAGCTACCGCGGCAGCGGGATCAGGTTTTGCCTTATCGTCGACGACGACGACGACGCTGGCGCAACGTCGGCCGCGCGCGCGCGCTACTATGTGTCAAATTGAGCGCGATAACTCGCGCGACGCGCGGCTAAAGTGAGGCAACGCGTCCTCGCGGATAATTTATGAATAAACGCGGCAAAAATCGCGTCGCCGTAAACGACCGGCGCGCGCGATACAAAAGTATCGCCAAGATGGCTCGCGCGCGAGGATCCCGGCTCGAGTCGGGCCGCGAGAGCGCGAGAGAGTGTCGTTACGCGTCGCACATTTCACCGCGAGATACGCGGTAGACGCTATTTTTGCCGGCGGAGATGCTTCCGCCGAGAGACATTCGCCGCTGATAAAACGACCCCGTCCGCGTCCGTCCGATCGAAAAACCTCCTCCTGATCCCCGGGGCCCGCAGGCATCCGCGGCATCGCCGAGGCAGCGCCGAGGGGTCGGCGCGCTGAGGGCGGAGGGCGGGAGAGGGACAGAGAAAGAGGGGAAAAAGGCAACACTCCGCGGCATTCCC